CCCCGAGTCCCCCAGCTGGCTCCGCCGCCACCATCCTCAGTGAGCGGTGCCGGCCCAACGCAGGCAGCTGCCCGGCCAGGAGCCAGGGAGCAGGGGCAGTGCCCTCCTCCCTTCTCTGCTCACTCCTGGGCAAAGCACCTTTTCCGGTCCCTTTGTCCTGACTTAAATAGGGCAATTCGCAGAGGCGCCCTATTGGCTCAACCCCGAGGGGGATGGCAGTCTGATCTGGTGGCCAGAACTAAGCCTAACCTGGTTCCAAAACCCCTCTCCTGCCACCAGCACCACCCCCCCCTCCACATCAAACCATGACACTGTTCTTGTGCTTTGCAGTCACTAGGTGCTGGAACAGCATATTTGCTGCTTTTAGACTTACTATTGCTGCTGTCTCCCAAAATTTCATTCTTCTGCTTTAGATGTTGTAGCCAAAGGAGAGTATTTACTGTCTTAAATAGTTTCTTCAAAAAGTTCTAAATAGGTGTTGCCATGGCAATACTTCCTACTAGTTCATGCTTCCTGGATGGCTTTGGAACGGGGTCTCTGGCAAGAAGTGAACAACTTGGGGTATGCCCTACTGCTTTGGTTATGTTACAAGAGTAGGGAAGGGACGAGCCTGCTTATGAGGATCTTTCACACTTTATTGCCTGCAGAAATCTGCTGCTTCATCTACTTCCATGATTATAACCTGTTTCATTTTAGAATTCTTTCCAATCAAGGTTGTGAAAGGAAAATATTTCTGATGTTGCTGATCACCAGATAGATAAGAGCTATATTTTAAAAGTTTTATTTGCAATGAAATAGTAACTAACCAGGGTTTCTTTCAGAGGACTGTCAGTTCGTTTTGATTGTTCAGCAACAGTATGTCCTGCGTTTCAGGAATGTTGATCTTTAAAGACGAATTCTGAATAGTGACTTTGACAGTGAAATAAAATATAAATCCTGATTTCTTGCTGTTCTTCTAAAGCAAGGCCTGGGAGGAGGAGGTATTCTAGCTGTGAAAATTGAGGAGTTATTTGCCGTGTGTGAAGAAACTTCTTGTTTTGTTCTTCTGTCACAACGTGCACTTTGAGGAATTTCTTCTGAAATAGAATATCTAGGCTGAAATAAAAATGTTTTTTGTAACATATCTATGTTACAGCTTGCTTCTGGATAAAGTGTAGATGCCCTTCACGTGCAAAGTGGAAAAGCCACTCCATAGTATCTGACATCAATGTACATCCAACACCTATGCCTGTAGAACAGACTACTACTTACTGGTTAGGTGGATGCATAATCAGTATCCACAGTTCATTTTCAGAACCTCCTTAAGAAGTGAGCTGAAGGAAGAATCTGGTGCATTTCAGGGTTGGGGAAAACGTTTTCATCGTGCAACATACAAACACATGTTCCAAAAGCTTTAGTTTTCTATGAGAAGTTTGTTTTCTACAGAATTATGCTTGCACAGTTTTTGTGGCTTGTTTGAAAGAGTTCACTCTCTCCGTTTCCCCCTCCCCCCCTTTTTTTTTTTGGCCTCCATCAGAAGACTAGCTCCTATAATGTATGGATGAAGTCTAGGACAGTCCTAGGAACTGGGCTAAGGCTATTCAGCTGACTTTTGTATATGTCACAAAAGACCTGTGGGATGTCAGAGGCAAAAGGCTGCCAGTCTCTGAATTCTCAGAGCTTTCAATGTCTAGAGGAGGAAAAACAATGATAAAGAAGTTTAGATAGAAATAAAAAAAAATGCCAAATTTGTTCTGAATATATTTTCTTCAGCATAGGAGGCAATAACTTTCAGAAATTGACAACCTGTTAGTGTCCTGACTCTAAGCATATGTGCGCACACATTCCCAGTATGTTATTTTTTTGTGCCTATGTATACTTTTTCTTTCTTTTTGCTTCATCTAGTTTGACACTGTAATTGCAGAAGCGGCCAGCTTGATGTCCGGGAGCTGATCTCTCTCTACCCCTTCCTGTTGCCTACTTCCTCTTCATTTATACGGTCCCATCCCCCTCTGCATGAGTACGCGGACCTAAACCAACTGACCCAAGGGGACCAGGAGAAGATGACAAAATGCAAACGATTCCTCATGAGTTACTTGAATGAAGTCCGCAGCACTGAGGTTGCAAACGGCTACAAGGAAGATATCGACACAGCTTTACTCAAGCTGTATGCGGAGGCAAATCATGAAAGCCTGCTGGATCTGCTAGTTTCAGAGAACTTTTGTCTTTTAACGGATAGTGCTGCCTGGCTGGAAAAACACAAAAAGTGAGTGGATTTTTTGAGTATTGCACCTTTGAGACCAAGAGGGGAAAATGGTCTTAAATGCTCTTGGCTTCTAAAGCAACGTGTTCAAATTCTTGTAGTTTTGGTGCCTTCAGGTCAAAATGACTACTGGGCCTGACTTGTCAGCATTTAAAAATGTTGGTGAAAAGGTATTAGTTGACAATCGGAGTTAAAGGAGATGCATTCCGTCTTATGCTGGTAAATACAGAGTTCTTCCTGAAAGTTTGTGTCCAACACAAAAATAAGGGACTGGTACAGGTTTAGGGGGGCGGAAATAAAAAGGGATCATTTATTTGTGCTTGTGACAATGTAAGAGTTGAATGGACACAGTAGTGGTACGTGGACAGAATAAAAAGGTGCCTTAAAGCGTGCACTACCTTAGGTAGAAGCTATTAACCAGTTAGTGGCTTTAAAATTGTAGTTGCTTATTCAAGGAAAGAGACCTTACTTTTGAATTGCCTGCTTTCTGTGCTCCCACTGATTCACCAAAAGCAGGTTGCTTAAGATGACTGCAAATGACTTCAAATTGGAAATGCCAGCAGGTGGGGAATTGGCTGGTAGTCATTAAGCAGGAAGTGCTAGATAGTGAATGTGTAAAATACAAACTGCAGTCATAGGTAGTGTCTCTCTCCTGAATTTAACTTCTCTAATCTTTAAACTATGTGGTGCAGTAGTGGCAACTGCAGTGATGAAGAGGAGTCTTTAATTGTGGTTAGATTTAGGATAATTTTATTTATTTCGGATGTTTTGTTAAGTCCTCTTGGTAGGTATGGTTTGTATGGCAAATGTGAATGGTAGAATATTGTTCCATGAGAACAGCCGTTACAGAACTTCAGCTCTATTTTTATTACAGTACACAAAAACCTCTCTGTAATGGCACTGTACAAAGCTCTTCCTTGCCTGACTTGATTTCATGCTGCAGTAAAGAGGTTGTTTCTGATAGTGAAACAGAGTTTTTATTAAAAGCGTCATAAAAGTTTGATTTAATGACACCTGATTAACTATTGGAGGAATATTTATTGTTTGGAGCTGTTTAAATCTGTATATAAAATACAGAGAACAGCATGGGAATCGCATCTAATTTGACACATACTTTGTGTAACTTGGAGCTAGTAACTAGAAGCTGACTTAGAGACAGGAGAGACACAGACATGTTTCTAGAACAGAACTTCTTTAATTCTGAAAAAGCCTACAGATGCTTGTTCAAGTGTAGACATGGCAGTGTACATGTCACTTAAAAATCCTACTTTAAGCAATTATTTGTTATTCTGTGCTAATCAAACCATAATGAAGCTGGTAGGAAAGATCTGGTGATTTTAATATTGTTTTCCCTTTCTATACAGGTATTTTGCCCTTGGTCTCCTGTATCACTACAATGGTCAGGATGCTGCAGCACTTCAGGTAAGAATAAAGCTTTTAGTGTCATCTGCAACCCATTCCAAAAGATCAGTTTGCCTCAGAGATAAGTCTGACGTGCTGATTTCTCTGTTTGATGAATAGTGATGTGTATATGTAAGACTTCCTTGAATAAATTAATATGCTAGATGTGAAAAACCTGAAGAACCTACTGAAGGTGGCAGCTATTTAGGTGCTTGTATGCTATTTTTTAAGCAAAACTTTGCATACCAGAACATATGTTTGTGCTCTTAAAAGATGGACAGAAGTGCTAAATTAATCAAGAAATCACTTAAAAAGGTGCTTGAGGGATTTCAAAGACACATCCTGTGCTGTTTAGTCTGCATACAGACAGCAAAGCAGTACTGTAATCTCATGGCTGCCACTGACAGTAGCTAGGAGTTTATTTCCTTATCTGATGATGGACAGTGAACACAGTCTGCAAGATCTGTGGGTTTCAGCTGGGTTAGTAATCCCTTTGGAGACTCTCCCTTCTGATGTCACTGAGACCTGCAGTGGTCTGTAGACAGGAGACTAAATAATTTTATCTCTGTTTGCAAAACTTCATCTGGAAAAATTACAATGTTCTTGATCAATAAATAACGTGTGTATATCAGACCATATCCAATACCTTAAGTATTTTGCCTTACTGTGTGGCTTTTTGAGTGTGTTAATGAGAGTAACAGTGTTGCATGCATTCAAGTCAGTTACGTAAATAGTAATTTCCTGAGCAGAAAACCAGTAAGGACAACAAAACCCGTATGAAACTTTGTCATGTGCGAGAGATTTTTCTTTGTTTTAAGGAACAAGGTTTATATTGCTAAACTGGTCTGCTAGATATGGCACTTTTTAATTCCAGTTATAATTTATATAAAAATAATCTCATGCGGTACTTGAAGTTCTCTAGTCAAAATGGAAGAAGACCAGAAAAACAGATTTCCTTCTAAATTGTTTATATCATTTGCTTTTAATTTTGCACACACAGAACACATGAAAACTATGCCATGTGTTTGAGAAAAGGCCTTTTATCAAAAGCCAGTCATCCTCAGAATGTGAGAACCCGCATGAAACAGAGTCTAAATTAGTTGAATATGGCAGATGCAAGAAAAGCCTCTGATGGAGAGGAGGCATGA